TTGAGTGAATACACTACTTGAGAACTAATTAGGACGGTAACCAGCAATGGCAGAGCCATGCATCATATGGTTCAGAAAACTTCATGGTTGGGAACATTCAGGTGCTTAAAACTTTGGTGCATACAAGTGGAGTGAGGTGGCTTCCCCAGTTTCTCCCACTGGAAAGGAGAGTCGTCCTGACTCCTAAAGGTCTAATGTCAGTCATTGTATCTGCTCAGAGGAAATGTTCTTGTTCACTTTCAATCTTATGCACATGAGGAAATCAGCAAAAAGCACTTTCTGCAGACAGGAATTTACAATTATAATCCTTACAACACTAGGAGAACCGAAGGAAAATAATCCAAACAAGTAAAAGTACAAATCACCATAAACAAGCAATAAACATCTTCAAATTAAAAATAATTCAGTAATTCTGCTACTTGTTCTTAATCTAACTTTTATTTGCAGCTTGCCAACTTTTTACGCAGCAACACTTTCCTCTTTTAGAAAAGTTTCCACCCAGACCAGAATGATGTTTAAAACATTACCAGCTCATCTTCCTCCATCTGAGAAATCCCAAGCCTTTTCATAACTGAAACAGTGAAGGAGCCAGGGACTCTGTGGAGTCCACTAGAGGCCTTATTACTGCCCCTCTGTTTTCCATGGAGAGCGCTCAGAAACTGCAGGATGTGTCCTAAAACAGTCATCTTAAGAAATATTTGGATGAAAATTGTAGAAAAGTTTGACTAGAATAAATACTTGTAACCTCCTGTGAATTTTCTGTGGTATTCTGACTTACCACATGGAGCTGTATACTAAATAAAATCAATAATTAGATGGCTCGTCCCTACTTCTGCTGCTGCATGAAGCTGCTTAGTTGTTTTGTCCCAGCTTCAGCCCTGTTTTCTCTCTTAATTTGTTGTGCTTGCTCAGTGAAATTGAATCCCACGTCATTTCAGGCAAGCCTTGGAGAAGTTGTTTTCCTCGGTGCAGATGGCTCTTTTCTCCAGATGTACGAGGCGGCTCAGAGCTGCCTCCTTCTTCTCTTAACCCTTTTGCCCGTCTTGAAGCCACGCTGCCCTATTGGTGCCGTAGCCCCGTGGCTCTTGCCCCATATCTGATTTTCCCGTGACTGCAGGCTGCCATGCGTGTCGGTCACATGCCATCAGTTACCTAATGTGCCACACAGGCTCCTGTTACCTAACACAGCTTTCTTCGTTTTGTTTGCTTTGTTTTCTTATCTGTTTGTTTTAACGAGGACAAAGTAAAACCGAAGTGTGCTGCAGCCACTGGGAGATGTCTCCGCTGGAAGCTCTCGTGGTGGCTTGGCTGCACAGCTCTTTGTGTTTGTGACTGTAAATGTTCCAGCCACACAACTCCAGCCCAGAGGAGCCAGAGAGGACCTGTACCCTTGCCGTTTCCCTTCACCCTGTTTGTTTCACTTGGGAACACAATGAGCTGTCAAAATTTCCTGCCTTGTTTCCACAGAATCCTTCCTTTTGCTCCAAAAAGGATTATTTATCTAAAGCTGCTAATTGTATAAATTGTCAGAACAATTGCTTAGCTTGATTTTAAGGTGGAGAGCAAAGACATGTAAAGGTCTCGTGACCTGATGAAAGTTCCCCTCAAAGGTCATCTGTCAAAGAGCAAAAGTCTGGTGCATTGCCGCTAACGGCCCTTGCCTCTCAGAAATTAAAAACCATGTGGTGTAGTACACATCTGGTGCAATCCCTACTTTTAGTATCTCTGCTGAGTGTACTTATGTGTAATTAAAAGCAATAGAGAAGAATATAAAAGTTTTCCAAATCAGTGCGCCAAGTTAAAATAGAGGAAGGCAGGTGTGGTTGATTTAGCCCACCACCACTTCCTAACTAATCTTTCTCTAATGATGTAGAAAGAGACTAGGTGGCACCTGGCGAAGTATTTTGAAATAACAGATTGATGAGGTAGAGCTACTTGATAACATCTTTGACTCATCAGAAACTTGCCTTTCCTGAGGGTAAAGTTAATGATCCTGGAATATAAGGGTTTTAGTGGCTTTGACTATGCCAGTGGGGATACAGATTTATTCTGCATATAGATTCCTGTAATGCTAGACACAACCCAGACTTCTATTGTCTAAAAAATGTAAAAGGACAAAAATAGTTGATAGGAAACATAAGTAATTTTCCATGACTTCAGGAACCTCAGGTTTGCTGGTTAAAACTCATTCCCATTTTCTTAGTTTGAAGAGCATGGGTCTGATAGCAAGTTGATTGGTCATCGTGCATAGCCCTTAACTATTTCAGGTCATCTTTCAAAAATTTTCATTAGTTCTCTCCTGCTTCTATGCTAAGATCATTAATAACATTTAAGACTGTTCCCAATACGAATCATTTAAAGACCATGTAGTAATTGTTCCCAAGCAGAAGTTTCCTTTCAGTGCACCTTGTTATCGTCTTGCCTTTAGTCTTTTTCCAGCTTACACTTTTTGTACTTATCTCTTGCCTTCTCTCATGTGCTTGATGAAGTCCATATGGCTGAAATACACTATAGTGTTGTTGTTTTTCTCTCTTGCCTAACAGTTAGCTATTTTATTTGAGGTAATTCAAAATCAGATTTTATCTTATATGGTCTACCTTTGGCAAGCCCACACTGTGTTTTCTTCTGCATTCCAGTTGTCTCCCTACCTTTAACATTCTCCTCATCAAAATTTGGAATCATACTGTTAAGATGAGAGTTAGGCAGATTTCCCATACATAACCATGTATGATTTTGTTATTCTCCAGTACTCGCTCTCTTTCATGTCCAGAGAGAAAATCATCCTTTCTGGGTTTACGGTATTGTATGGTTGTTAGAGGTGGTTTTTTTTTCAGATTTTTGGAGTTGGAATTTCTCTTTTTTTCTTTCAAAGTATTTGTTGATTTAGTCAGGAGTGACATATTTATCAGGCTGTTAATGCAGGGGGTTATTTGCAGTTCCCTGTTAATTCATTGGTGCATACAGAAAAAACAAAATCCTCAATCAAGGCATGCTCTGAATTTACACCCGTTCTTAATTTGCTGATGCTTGTATTAGTGACAGGCTCAAGCCTGTCTGATTTTTATTTATTTATTTTTTATTCGTATAATGTGCACCATATGCTTGCCGTTATTACTTTTTACCTGCGTGAATCAGCCAATCTGATCGGTCTACCTGTGGTAGTGAGCAGTGCTTTTAGATAAGGGTGCTGGTTTGGGAGCTCTGATTCATGAGTGTTGATGGATCTCTCTTCAGCGTTTTACAAACCCCATTTGCCCCACCCTTCTGCCCTTTAAGACTCAGGAATAGGTTTATATGCCTTTGTAACCACAGTTGCAAGTGATTTGAAACTGCTGATGAAGGTAGACCCCTGCTGTTTTCATACCTTTGAACTGCAACAGCTGAAGAGCAGGCGGAGGTTTGCACCTCCTGACATCAGAAGGGATAAGTGGGGTCAACAGCAGCTTAGAGGGTTTGGGGCTGGTTCCTCAGCTAGCAAGAGAGCTGCAGGTTGGCAGGCGGCAGCTGGATGCAGGGAGCACATGTTCTGTCTCTAGAAACAAAACAACAAAACAAAAATAAGGATCAGAGAAAATACATTCGTATTCTTAATCTAAAGTGACTGTGTTTGATGTATTCTTAATTTGAGTGCACACTCTTGTCTTTTGTACCTCTAAGGACCCCTAGAGGGCACAGAAGTTTTTCTCCACCTCAGATAGTCAACTTAATCATTCTGCTTGGCTTTCTTCCCTTATGCATAATTGTAAGCACATTTTAAGTGAGCATTGGATAGAAAAAATAACAGCATATAACTAGATCCTTCTTTCATGCTGGAAGATGTTTTCTTGTTTTTAAATATAAGCAGTAGAAACTTGCACTAGCAGCCAAATTCTTCAATAATTTTTGTTTATATTAGTCAGATACCGCATTTGTATCCCAAAGGAAGCTCAATTCAAAATAACTAATAATTCATAATTTTGTGAACTTCTGAGAGAGAGGCCTGCAGAGTGAGCTGTCTGGAAGTACTGTGGGTACATTTTCAACGTGATGGTCTGTGCTCCTGTGGAGGAGCAATCGGTATTAAAAGAACTACAGTACTCTGATATAAATCCCTAAAATATCCAAACTTAATCTTATTTAAGAATATTTAAGGTGTTGGTCTGATGAATTTTCACACAAAGAAGTGGGGAAATTACTGTACAAGATATTTAAAGTTAGAGAAATGTAAAAGTGACATCTGCTTCTGCTACTTCCTATCTACTTCGAAAGAGATTTTTGTACTGCTTGTGCATGCTGAGTACTGTTTTGCTTTCTCAAATGAGTTTTTTCATTTCATCAGTGCTACGTGGCAAGTCAGGTATTAATCAACATGAATTACACAAGGATATTAATTCGTATCATCGTATTGTCACTTCATAATGCTACATACTAAATTTGTAGAATAATGCTGGGAACATCAGGTTTTGGTTAAATAAAGCAGCTTCTGTGTATGAGGAGAAGGCAGATGATGTTTTCCAGAATGCTCAAGGAGCAGAAAGTAAAACAAAAACAAACAAAATGGAAAAAAGAAAAAAAAAAAACTCATACTTTGGGTCTATTTTTTTTTCATTATCTAATGATTTTGAGACCAGTCCCACAGCTTTGGAGGTCTGCTGGCCCGTAAGTCTAGTCCAAGGTTTAACCTTTCATGTGTGATGCCGTTACAGTGAATGTTCAACTGGTCTTTGGACAATACTAGATATCTACTATACTCCTGAAATGCTGAGAGTGTTCTCAGTGAGCAAGAAGCCGTTCCATAGGAAGAACATGTTTTTTCTTGTGGCTTTTTCTGATAAGAGGATCAGCTGTACTGCTTTACTCAATTACCCAGGGATGTCATGGGAGATGATTTTTATTGGTCCTTAGTTTTCCCACTGGAGGAGCATCGCGTCATCATGTTGAACAGAAAATAGATCTAGCTCTAAACAGTGGAGGAAAGCAGCTGCCCCTATTAACGTCTCTGGGGATCTTGTGTTTTGCAGGAGATGCACGGGTGAGAGGTCAGACAGGGGTTCTCTCCGAGCGCCGCGGCTCCTACCCGTTCATAGACTTCCGTCTTCTTAACAGTAAGTGCAACCCTTCCTTTGCAACTGAATTTAAAAAACATCTGTATTTTTTTTTTAAATCAGTATTGAAAGTACATGAATGGAAGTATCTCATTTCATACATATCTGTTGTTCAGCTGTCTTCATGCAGTCAGCATTAATAATTCTGTTATTTCCACGTAGTGTTTGACTGTGAAATGTTTTGATTACATGAACAGTGTCCATAATGCAGAGTATGTCAAGTAAATACCATAGTGCCATGGAGCATGTTTGGGGGGGCGTGGGGGCAGGGGGGTGTTTCAGAATTAAAAAGATAAATCCCTATGTCCTTTAGCCTCTTAGCCAACAGTTGGAACAGATTTATGCGAGTCTGTTATCCGGTCATATAGAATTGGCACAGAAGGGGAGCATGTGACAGCGCTGACCAGTGGTTTACAATAACATTAATTTTTCCAACAATTAGAACCCAATCCAAAGCCCCATGGAGTCTTCTCATTGACGTCAATAGATTTTGGGTCAGGCCAGCAGTGAACATCTGTTAAAAATAATCTTAACCTCATTTTGATTGAAGTTATTTTGCCACTGTTGTAAATAAAAGAGGGTAAATTTAAAAGGGAGAAAAAAATCAGGATACAGTTTTTTGTTTTGGTTTGTTTTTTTTCACCTGATGAATTCTCTATAATGATGCAAGCCAAGCAGCCTGTGTGTAAATAAATAAAATAGAAAACAGAGAGCTCTTAGTCTTGGGCCTTACAGCATTGTCTGGATGCTGTACTAACTCCTGTGTTCAGACACAGGCAAATTGCAATGTGTCCCCATATACAGTACAGATCACTCCATTTAACCTCTGAAACAAAAGTTATTCACGGTCTTCATCAAAACAGACTGAAACTCCAACAGTTTGTTTAGTGATTACAGTTTTAATCTTCCAGCGATTATGTTTTTCATTAAAAAGCAATTATGAAAACAAAGTTTTAAATCTTCTTTCTGTAACTGCTTTCCAGAATAACTGGGAAGAGAAAGGAGGTAGGTGGCTGGAAAGGGGAAGAAGAAGACCAGCTGTGAAGGGAAAGGTCTGGCTGGAGATCAGGAGAAGGAGCAGCTGATAGGAAGGGGAGGACTTGGGCTCCGATCTGCTGCATTCGCACGAGCTGGCGAGAAAGTACTGCAGTTTGGCAAAGTGTTTGCTTTCAGCCTTGCTCATAAAAGGTGTTTTCTAGGTCATAAGTCCATCAGAGTGCTTGCTATGGCTGTGGTAGAAAGGCATAACGGATAACATGTGTCCAGAAAATTTCCCAGGACAAACAGGGAACAACACACTGGTTGAGCAGACCTCTGAGGATAATTTAGTCCTGGTTTGCCAATGAAAAATTGAAGAAAAATCTGTTTTAGGGTAGCTGGAAATATTGTTGTTGACTAAGAGAAAATAAAGAGAAAAAAAGAAGACTAAGAGAAAATAAAAACAATTCTCATTCATGAAGTAGAAGTGAATTTATATTCACGTTTCAGTGTGACTAAATGCATTCATTATTTCCTTTCTATTTTGAATACATGCACATTATTTAAAATTCTCATTATATGTTCTTTCCCTGGTTAAAGAAACCAAAGAAACTTTCAGCTTTCTTTTTTTTCCTGGAAACAGGGCTTTTGCTTTTATCCCTTGTAGATGAGTCCTGCCATCCTCCAGGTCCTGCCAGCTTGAGGGAAGTGCTCGTGCTGCTCAGGGGTAGTCTGGGGAGAGGCCCGGGAGGAGAGAGGACTGATGAATTCTCTGCCTTTGATCATACGAGCAGCAGGGCACTCTGCCGAACTCTTCTGCTCTGGCTGCCGAGCTTAAAAAGAGATGCCTCTCTCTGCAGGCACCTCTGCTCCTACGTGGGCAGGGCAGCCAGGTTTTTTATGTATCTTTGTTCTTTCTTCTTATTGCTTGTCCTTCATCTGAAAGAAGCCACTAAGTCTGATCAGGATCTCTGCAAGAAAAACTAGTGATCCTGATTTTGGATTTCTCATTTTGTTCAGATTTTTCTGTGCTTACTGTTTTCTGCCTGGGGAGTGGTAGCAGCTTAATTTTTCACTCCAAAATGAAGTGAGATTTCTAGGCACAAGCCTACCATCTTTGTAGGTGTTCACTGTGCCTGGCTCACTTGGTGGCCTACAGGTAAATGAAGACCCTCGCTGTCAGAGTGCACAAATGTGTTTTGCCAGGACGTAAACAGGCTTCTATATTATTTGTTCATGTATATCCATCTATCAAATCAATTTCTTCTGTGCATATCCTACAAGCATCAAAAAACATGGTAATACACATCCTAATGAAATATGCATAAATGTCACTACTGCATTTTTTAACAGTATCTAATACTTACAGTGAATTTTTGGCACAATGTTATATTTGTTTGGGGGCAATAACTGATAGGCAGCAACTAACTGTGTATTGAAAGCTGCTACAGTAAGAGAGGGATGAGGCAGAGGAAATTTTATGGTAGATATCCTCAGAAGTTATAAAGAAGTGGATCATAAATATTATTCCAGCTTCTCACCAACTCAGACAAATGGAGTTTAAATAGTTCCCTATACCATGTGAAATATTATTCCAAGTAACAGTACTGCCCTTGTTTTAAAGTACAAGAAAACACTAGAACTCACTCTTAAATGAAGACTTAAAGTTTTCTTAAAAGATTTCAGGACATTGCAGTCGGGTCTTGCACAGTATTACTTACATGTAACCTTTTGAACATGCTTACAGATTCAAATTAGTGGATTTTTCCCTACTTTGGCTAGCAAGGGTTAACACCAAATAGACCATATCTGTTGTTTTTTCTGGATTCCTGTAGTAAAGTCGCTGTGTAATTTAAGACACTGTTAAGTCTTTTTGGATAGGAAAACTTCCTGTGTTCTCAAAATGTGATCTTCTATAGCCATAATCAAAGCCAACTGGATTAATGCTAGCTTCTTGCTGTTTGAGCTAACATCTGTGATGCCATCTAAATGTTCCTCCAGTGCCTCCCTGTAATATATAGAAACTTGGTGGGCATTATTTCACCTTGTCAGTGCCACACTGTGAGGACCATGAGTATTTTACAGCATCCTATCTGGAGGAGATGCAAGGCTTTAGCATCCTCTCTTTACTGGACCTAGTTGCGAGCTTTCCTTGAGATGTAGTTGCACCCATGGCTCTTGGGGACTGTAACATAATTCTGGAATTCAAAACTGCATGTGAAATATCTCCTCGCCACAAGATCATCTGCTGTGTTCTGTGCTGGGGGGAACCACAGCCACCTGAGTAAGTGCCTGTGATGTGTGGAGACTTGCATGGCCAACCAGATACATGTATGCACTGACAGTGTTGAGGTAGAAGCTTTGGGGGAAGCTATGTAGCAGCTCCACTCTCCAGTAAAACTGCAGCAGATGGTGCTCATTAGCCAGCACCACATGAAGGGGAGGCTTTCCATTTTCCCATCCTGCCACAGTAAGGCAAGGGCACGACCTGATGGCCACGGCTATGCCCCAGGAAAAACAAAAATAAATAAATAAATAAATAAATAAATAAATAAAAAGCTGAATGTGGCAGACCTGAGGTTCTTTGCTCACAAGAGAGCTTATGAAATATTCAGACTTCACAGACTTCTCCTAAATGGAAGGATACAAGCTTTGCACAACCTTGTAGGCTTATAGGAAAATGGAGAAAGAGCTTTCTTTTCATGCAAGTAAGACATGCCTTAAAATGGATGCAGTGGAAAAAGAAAAGACAAATTCTTACTTTCTGAAGGAGAAATAGGTTGGAATAAGCAAGTATTAAGTGCCATATAACAGGTGAATATAATGTATAAATTGTGTAATACTGACTTCAAACCAAAACTTCAAAAATTTGCAGAGAATTTAACTCTGAACTTGGTAGATCTTGCTTGTAACTGAAACTAACGCAGTTGAAATTAATGATGCCCATTTATTGGCATTTTTTCCATTTCTGTAAATTAAATGAACTTTTGTGCATTCACTTGACAAAAGAGTGGTTAATCTGAATATGTGCAACGTAATTTAGAATTTGAACCACCTCTGCAGTGAAAACTTAACTTGATCCAGTTTTCCTTTTAGCAAAGCATGGTTTGGATTTCAGAAATAAAGGGTCATAGTAGTAAGGCAGCTGTAATTCAGTTCTCTGACTGAGAAAGTTGCTCAGTGAGTCATTGAACCAGATCCCTCCAGTGACTAATGTACATTGATTAAGAGAGATTTCATTATCCCATGATGAGTTGTGCTGGTAACTGCAATGGTACATTTCTTCATTGCATTAATTAAAAGTTTGAGGGAATTCCCTGTGATAAGCCTAGAGCTGTAGGTGAGCATGCAGTAATAACCAAGCAGACCTTGCCATGTTCTAGTTAGATTAGATGCTTTGTTTTATTGCCAAATTAAATTAAACAGAGTAACAAAATAGCAAGTTACATGGCAGATGAATAACTTTTCATTTATTAATTTGCTTGTCATTCTTTATCAAAAGACAAGGAAATTCTTAAGACTTGCACAGTGATTCTTCAGTTTCTATCTTCTTACTAAGTTTTTCTCTGTATCAAATTGGGAAATATTAAAACTGTTTCTGCTCACATTTTTAACTTTTCCTGAAAAATTCTGCATTAGGAACACTTTGGTTTTGTCCCAGCGTCGGTTCTCTCTTTCATTACCCACAGTATATCTCCACAGTATCAAAGTGTCTGACAGCGCTTACATCTGTGTATTGATATAGGAGGGATTACAGGGAAAGGATGTAGTACGTGACTTGTGACCTCCAAAAAAAACCCTGCACATTTTAAGCTTTGCTTAAAGTTAGTATAGATTGTATGTTTGTAGTAACAGATGATGATTAGTAGTGGTGATGATTACTATTAAGTCCCTGTCTACTATTAAGTCTGTCCTTGATTTGCAGTCTGATTTAAGTCAAGCCCAATCCTCTGTTTTTCAGTTCGTTTGTACATAAGGTGATGCCAGCATGTGATGAACTAGGTATTACAGAAATGAAAAGT